TGTCCAGCATAGTTGCAGTATAAACCACAGGTGAGCTATGTTGGTGCTGAACAAACACAAATGTGACTAAGCAGGCATCTGTAACTGATTTGGTTAAATCTATTTGCCAAAGACAAGCTATGAATGAATGAATATCTCTCCAACATTCAATGCAGATATGTAGAGGGAATTGCACAGTATCCCTACGACCACACCCAGTCATGGGACTGAAGGTAATGACCACACTAAATAAGGCAACAGTTAAATGATTACTAGAAACTGGAAAAAAAGAACAACAAAAAATAAATAAATAAAAGGAAAGAAATTTACAAATTGATAAAATTCCCAACTTGCTGATTATTTTTCAAATTTGTTTATAAACTTATCTTCAATGAAAATTTGAAGAAATACTTTTCATTAATTTTCTTTTTATTCATTTACTACCAATATGAAAGCAAAAACGAATAAAAAGCATCTTCTGCAAAAAGGTTTGAAAAATGAAAAAGCAAAGCCATAAGTAAGAGGGATAACTCTTTAGAACAAAATTAAAGAGTTATCCCCCTTGTTTGGGTGATGGTTGAAATTAGAGTTTAGGCATTTTAATTGCTTAAAATTTTTTTAATCGGTATCAATCCAAGTCAGTCAGTACAGCCACTAGTACGCAAGAAACAGAAACATCAGTAATGGGGAGAAAGAAAAGAGCAATCAGGACGGCAGATAGTGATTGACTTTGCATTTAATTTTTTGCAGATTAAACTTGGTTGAAAAGCATGGAGCCGAGAGAGAGTTCCACAAGTAAGAAGTGTGGGATAAGAAGCTGTTAGCATAGAATTTCCGGCTACATCTAGCTAGCTGAACTGTAAATTGATGAGATTTCAACACCAGTCGAGTATTACATAGTTTAAATTATCGTTATTCATACAGTCGAGGTACCATAGTGTAGAGCTCATCCAAACAATTACCATGAAAGGATTTATAAAAAAGGCACAGAGATAACCTTACAGTGATGGGCAAGGGACTGAAGCTGAGCAACCAGATCAGGATCAATAATATTGCTGATTCTTCTTTGGATAATATCGTGGAGCTCCAGGAAAATAGCAGGGACACCGGATCATATCTGGCAGCAATATTCTAAGCATGGGCGAATGGTAGACTTACAGATATGCAAGATAAATTCTGGAGAGAAAAATTGTCTTGCTTGACACAGTGAACAGACTTTCTTAGAAGCTGATCTGGCAAAAGATTCAACGTAGTCTTTCTACTTTAAGTCAGCTGAGAACGTTAGCCTGAGAAGGCATGACAAGTGACTTTCCTGTGGGATCATGTTGATGGCAGGGAGGGAGGGGGGTTGGTCTCTCAGATGATTAATGGAGAAAATTTTAGTTTTGGAGGCATTAAAATTGACAAACCATCTTTTTCTCCCCACCCAGTTAATGACAATCTCGAGGTCATTTTGTACATCAGCTACCATTTTGACCTTGTCTGACTGATCAGCCTTGCTAGTAATCATCGCCCCCAACCAAGGTGATAATACTACTGGAAATGAAAGAGAAGGAAAACGCTTTAGACAGAACCAGAAATCCAGTCTTAAATAGAAAACAAGTAATAAACTTCTACACATGATCAAAAGACCAAGGAGGTGTGTGAACCATTTATTTTAATCTTAAATTTATTATTTCAAAATTAACATTAAGATTTTTTTCTTATCCCAAAGGTACGTAAATTACCTGTACTTTTGCCATAACATATTTTTAGGTTTATCACAAAGCCTTCTGCTCATGTGTGCTTATAATTGGTACTATTGAAGCCATGTGATTGAAGTTTGAGCTTGATTGCACCAGTTTTCTTGCTGCTTTTACAGTGTAAACATGGCCACTCCACTAGCAGTGTGCATCAAGGAGGAACAATGAGCAACGATCCAAATCTGCAAAGAACATATTACCTCATCAATGATAAATTGCCAGTTTGCCATTACCATCTCTCAAGGTTGCTGAATCTTCTCGTCAATGGTGGAGGTTGACAGTCACACTGCTCTTTCTTCATGCGTCATGTTTGTTGGGCCACTTTTAAACTTCTCGATCCACTTATACACACTTCTATGTGGTAATGCATTGTCGCTATATTGTGTTAAAAGACTCCAATAAATTTCAGCCCCTGCCTGACACACTTCCCAACCAAAGACACTGCTTTTTGTTCCTCCCTGGCACAAACTGATAGTGGAGTGGCCATGTTTACACTGTAACAACAGCAAGAAAACTTCAATCACATGACCACAATTGTATCAACTATAACCACACATGAGCAGAAGACAGTGTGACTCATCCTGGGTATGACAATAAACTACATAGGTTTGGAGGAGTGTGCACTATCACATTGAAGTCTGTATGAGAGGATCAAGAAATTTAAAAATGGCCAGAATAAGCAAGCTTGTCAACCTCCACCACTGATGAGAAGATTCAGTAAGCTCTAGAGATGTTAATTATGAACCAGCAAGTTATCATCAGTATGGTAGCATAATCTCTGCAGATTCAGATCACTGCTCTTCCTCCTTGGGGCACACTGCTAGCAGAGCGTCCATGTTTATACTGTAACAGCAGCAAGAAAACTGGTGAGAACAAACTCAAACTTTGATCATATGACCACAATAGTACCTAACAATATGTTATGGTGAAAGTACAGATCATTTCTGACTTACCCTCGTAGATCTAAATTAAATTTTAGAATTGGGGGTTAACTATTTGCCCATAACTGGGACCCTAACAGGTGCTACCACACTGAGTTCAGGTGAACCTGGGAATACCAGCAATTAAGAGGTGGTTCCACGCTCCTCAAAACCTCCTGATCAGAGGCCATGCTGTTGGATGTAGTTTATCGTCTTAACCAGGATGCCTCAATAGTAGGGCTTTAGCAATTAATCTCAAAACTAAAATGGTTTGGTATCTCATTCTTAATAGCATTTACTTCCCTAAAAAGCAAAAAACTAGTAATTAATTATATTAGAAAACAACAGAAAATAAAAGAAAGGAATTAGATTAAATTTACAGTAAGTTACTTATTGAAATTGTAGCCAGGTACAAGTGTACACAGCAGAAGAAAACTAATTATTTCTCAGGTGTACCTTACACTACTTTAACAATTCCATACTCACCTGGCACATGCTGGGTTAGGGTTTATCATCCCTCAGTTATGTGTCTGTCTTCAGGCAGAGTGTGACTCAGTTGTGGCTCTGCCTGTGAACAGAGGCGTAACTGAGGAAAATAAATACTGCGAAGTGCCCGGCTGTGGGGAACAGCTGCCTGAGGTTGCACACTCTCATTGCACTAGAAAGGAAGAGGGATCGGTGCTTGCCACCAAGGCCAACACAACTGACAGTTGTAAGGGCTCAGGGAATTTTTGTCCTTGGCCCAAGTGTATGTGCTCAGGTTCTGCACAATAAACCTGACCTTGCATCACATCATGGCTCAGTGGGGAGACAAAGTAAATAATACTTCTGAAGTAATTAAGATAATCTCAATTAGGACTAAGGCATATAAGCTATTGTAGTATCATAACGAGCCTTCAAACATTTTGAGAGAAAACATTGTCTTACCTTGCAAATAAAAGGTTGCTTGCCTGCTGAAAATACCTGGCCAAGGACAGATATATGTGGGCAAAGCTGGCACAGAAGCCACACCAGGGGGCGTAATATAAAAGTAAAACATCCTAGAAGAAAAAAGAAAACAATTAAGAATGAAAATAATGAAAAAAAGTTCAGTTTCTTCTTCGTTTTATCATCATTGATGATGAAATAAAAGCATTAATTTTTTGATTTATCAGATAACAACATTAATCCTATTTTATTGCAGAATAAAAAAATTAATGAATAGAAATCAAATAAAAATAATAAAATGATTCAAATGAAAGAGATGGAAATGAATAAATAGTGGATGGGAGGGAGGGGCCACGAGAGGAGAGGGCAGAAAAAAGCTGGTCCAGAAAAGGAGAGGAGATGGAGATAGAGAGAAGATATAGAGGAAGGAGGGGGAGAAAGAGGGGGGAAAATAAGGAGAGGAGGGAAGAAAGAGAGTGGGAGAGACGTGGAAAGAAATAGTGGGGAGTAAAAAGAGAGGGGAGAAAGAGGAAAGAAATAAATAAATAAAGAAAGAAAGAAAGAAAAAGGATTTTGCAGTTTTATTTTCCTTCTTCTAATACATTTCAAAAATATCTTTGGAGAATAAGCATCAATTTTTTTTGAAGCTTGAATCTTGGAAAGTGAGGTGGATAAAATTTACTAAAACTTTTCCAATTCCTACTACATCTGACAATTCTTCACTTCAGGTTGAAGAAAATACAATATTACTTCCCAACTATTTGAATAGAAATCCAAATGGGGAGGAAAAACAAAAAAGTCCAATGACACAACCAGATAATCCAACCAACAATATGGAAAAATTATCCCAGTTGGGAAACATCCAACAACCTCAGAAGGTTGTGAGAAATGCCAGAATACTTAAAAGATTATGTTGTTAAAAATTTGGGCAATGTGCTAAGTCACACTATAGAGTATTTTTGTTCTGTAAAATATATACCCAATACTTGTATTAAAATTATTATTTCAAATTACAGTGTAAGGTCATGGGAAATTAAATAAATACTCTAAAAATGAATGATGCATATAAATTAACAACGCTCCAAACTGATAAAACTCTCATTGGAAGTCAGTGGGTCAACACTCTTAAAACTAATAAAAAAGACAAAGTGGGCTTGGGTCAGAACAAGAGCGAGGTGAGCCGGGGGGTGAACAAGAGAGATGTGAGCCAGGGTCGGAACAAGGGAGAGGTGGGCCAGGGGTCAGAACAAGGAAGAGGTGGGCTGGGGGTCGGAACAAGAGAGAGGTGGGCTAGGGATCGGAACAAGAGAGAGGTGGGGCCGGGGGGGTCGGAACAAGAAAGAGGTGGGCCAGGGGGTTGGAACAAGAGAGAGTGGGGCGGGGGGGTCGGAACAAGAGAGGGGGGATCGGAACAAGGAGAGGTGGGCCAGGGTCAGAACAAGAGAGAAGTGGGCCGGGGTCAGAACAAGAACAAGGAAGGGGCAGAAAATTTTTTTTCAAAAACAACTAAGCTGTGTTGCAAGTGGGACAATTACAGACCTGAAAGTAGAAAATAAGTCCTTGAAAATGAAACTGAGCTAATCTCGCAGGCCATTACTAGTGTAGCATGTTCAATCCTCACTGGAAGACTTACTTGTGGCCCAATGTCAGACAAAGGTTAGTTTCGTAAACATGCTATATTATTTAACAAATCACAGCTATATACTTTCACAAAAAGCAAATGTAAAAGATTTCAAACTGATTAAAAAATATCTATTTATTACTTACATTGGACGTATTTATAACAAGCTGCTGGAAAGTGTGAGATGTAATTTCTGTTACCCTCACAATATTAGGTGTGGTTGAGGATGAATCAAAGTCTGTATCAGGTGGCACACCACTTTCTCTGTTTAAATTTTTATCTTTATCACTTGAATTATGGTTTTGGTGATTGACAGACTTGCTAGAAGGAGAAGACAACATTTCTCGTTCTATGTCGCCTGTTGTGTAGTTTGCAATGAATTCAGCTGAAATTAAAGTTTTCTTTTTAAAGAATGAAAACAATAAATAATCATGGTTATTTAATGTTAACTTTTAAAACAGAAAAAAAAAGCTTTAGAAATGCCAATTTAGAATTTTTAAACACATCTATTGAATAAGTAAAAAATAAATACTCCAACTTGGTCTGTTTTTTTTTTTTTAAGACATCTTAAAACATTCTCTAAAAATAGTGTTTAGAATGAATATTTAAAAACAAAATATTTCAAAATTTATATTTAAATAATTTTTTTCTTTACTTTAATGTTTATTACATCTAACTGCCTGGCCTGCACACAAAGAAAATGTGCTCCTTGGCATTAAGTGGAGGCCGATAAGATGTAATACAGTAAAAATTGACAATGGCGAAATTTAAACCGAGGTCACATGGTCAGAAAGTGAACATTCTAACTACTTAGCTACATGCCTATTAAATAAACCTATAATAATAATTGTTCATCTCAAGACCTCAGAAAAAACAAAGAATTTTATCGATTGCAGTTTCATCATCATTTAGAGCTTTTATTATAAAAAAAAAAAAAAAAAAAAAAAAAAGCAAAACAGGTCATCTATTTCAAATTCAATATATTCAATATCTACTAAAAATAACATTTAAACTAATGGTTATCAACCAAGGTCCATGTAGCATCACTGGAGTGTAACACAAAATATTTTAGTGGTCTATAGAGCAATTATCAACCAGGGTCAATGTAACATTATTGGGGCTCCACAAAAAATAATTGGGAGTCCACAGTAATATTTTAGTGATCCATAGAGCAATTTCAGTTCAGAATGGTTGTTACAATGGAGATTTGCAATTTCTACAGTAATCTACATCATATTAAAATAGAAAAACACTTTTAAAACTAGCAGAAAACGAGGCCCTCTCTGAATTGCGGGAGTGATGAAAAATGGCAAGCAAAATTCAAAGGTGAAAAGCATAATATATGGAAAACAAATGACACTGCTTAAAAAATATCCACTACTCAAGGAAAATGCACAGCTCTATGTTATTGTTTTCCATCATCTTACCTTGTTGGATCGAATTTTACTTATCAAAAATCTGTAAGAGACTCAAGATCAAGATTGTGAACAATAATCTGAATGGCAAAATTGGAAATGTAAACATTGGTAAATAAGGAGCCATGACTAAAATAAATTTATTACTAAAAACTTATTTACACCGATTTGCTGTTTTTAGTAATAAATTTATTTTAGTCATGTTTCTTATTTACCCCCCCCCATGTTTACCATTTTCAATTTTGTTGTTTTTTATTGTTGTTCCAACAAATCTTTCTGAAGGTTTTTAAAAAAATACATTGTTATTCTCAAAGCAATATATATATATATATATATATATATATATATATATATATCCAATTATAGGATTGGTGTATACCGAATAAATTCCAATAACCAAAAAATACTATTCTTAAAAAAGAGTGCTCAATACAATAATTATTATAACCAAGGTTCATTATCAAGTTTTTTTGAATTCTCATATACTTGTATTTTGATTGGTCATTCCAGCTTATGTAACAGCGTTTCCCCTTAGCGAGGGGTGTTGGATTGATTTGAACCTTTTAAAACCCTTTATTATACATTCAACATCCTCATTTGATAAGACACAAAGCTTTGAAACGAAATGGCTATTTTTGTAGTGATTTTATAACATATTTATGTTGTAATTTTCGAATAAATAATTATATGTGTGTGTGTGTGTGTGTGTGTGTGTGTGTGTGTGTGTGTGTATACACATATAAAAAAACACTTACATGTGTGTTTTTTTATCTCGAATGTGAATAGATGAAAATTAATCAAACCCACAGTATTTGCACTATTTATAATCAGAAAACTGTCCTCATCTATGGGACAATGGCCTAGTGGGTAAGAGCATTGGTTTGTGAATTTGATGACATAGTGAGTTCAATCTATGGGTTGGGCAGTGTGTACTTGCACTTGGTAGAAACAGGCAATAACAGAACAGTATTAAATAAAAATAAGAACTAGACAATATAACTCCATCAAAGCAAAAATATTTTAAAATATACAAAATGGACTTTTACTTACCTACAAAAGATTTTGTGAAAGGTTTTTTTAAAAAGTAACTTTTTTCGTCCTACAAAGAAACAAGGAGATAAAAATAGTTTAAAAAAAAAAAAAAAAATGCACTTGAAAATTAAATGTGTAGACGTACAACACAACCCTCGCCAAAGCTTTCCACCAACTGGACAATGATTACCCCCCCACATTGCATTTCGGTTCTCAATCTTGTCAGTGTGCACTGAAAGCTAGGTGAGGGCCCACTCTATCTTAACAAGGCGAAAGATGAAAGACAAAGACCACATTGAGAAATAAGAACACAAACCCATATTATACGTAAATGTTTTCTTCTTCGGGTGGGTAGGTAGATGATACTTGAGGCAACTTCTGCTATGTCAGCTCTTCCTCTTACCACCTTCTCACCCATCTACTCACCCCAATGTGTGGCTGGCAATATGGCACAGGAACTACATGACACATATCCATCCCCTGCCAAGAGCAAACCAGAACTCTCCCTGATCACAATACCAGCACCTGGATACACCCTATTTCCAGCTTTGTTGTCACTTGATCTCCAAAAGCCCCTCATTCATTCATTTACCCCTCATTCCCCTTTTGGTCAAAGTGTATGCTGCTTAGAAAACTATACTTCAAAAAAAGCCCACCTGCTGGCTATTAAACAGAAACACTTTTGAATGAGATAAAATCACATCTTTTTCTATGTGGGTGTCCATCGTATCATATATGTGTAGACATTGATCAGAATGCTACTCTGGAGCTAATATATATATATATATATATATATATATATATATATATATATGTCTATATTTCTGAGATGAGGTATTATGTACACTATTTACATTATTTGGATCACAATGTTTCAGCTGTTGTATGCTCCAGCCTTCTTCAGGTGGTTGGAATATTGAACTGAACCCTTTATTTCACTCACTGGGGTAGACCTAGTTCCATGTGCCATGTCTAATGGATATCAGTTACCTCCTGTTAATTCCCCTCTCCAAATTCTCCACCTCAAGGACACATCACACAGTGGATAAAGGTGTTAGTTAGATCCAAAGACAGGACCCAAAGAGTGTGAGTTCCATACCTGGGTAAGGTGGTGGAGAACTTTGAAGGGGAATTAACAGGCGATAACTGACATCCATTAGACATGGCACATGGAACTAGAACAGTCTACAATGGCCAAAACGTTGTGATAAACATGGCGACAAAGATGGGTACAATAGTCCAAATAATGTAAATAGTATATATATATATATATATATATATATATATATATGGCAGCTCAATTTTCTTGCTAAGGGAAGTTTGTTGGATAAATTATTATAAAATGTATTTTTAAGCCAGACAAGTCTACAGTGACAAGATTTAAGGAATACAAAAAGAAAACAATCGGAAGAGGTCAGAGAAAATAGTAATATAAATACACAAATTATATATCAATATATACACAAATTATATATCAAACAATATTTGACCTTTCAGAAAACAAAATCTAAGCATTCAAAACATTTTTTAGTAGGATTTCATTATTTGTTATTTTTTCTCCAACATGTCAAAGCAGCTAACAAAAGCTGCATGCTGCTTATTTTCTGTTCAACATTCCATAAAAAGAGAGCATTTTGTCTCCTGGCACATTATACACTTATCGTATCTCCAATCATTTCTAAAAATCTGGGTTTAAACTCACTCCCGACCTTAAATGGAATGCATATATTCATCTCATTGCAAAAGATACTGGAAATACCTAACTCCTGCTGCCACGCCCTATCAAGAACGGTGTATTGCTGTCACATCTGGGCTGTCCAGCCTTGACAGAATTCAAAAGCAATTAATGCAGAATTGTGGGTGATGAATTATTCCCTGCCCTGCAAGCCTCACAGACAAAACATTGCTAGCCTCTCTCTCTCTACTATATCACTATGACAGATATTTGTATGAGTTACATTCCTTAGTTCCACCAGTTCAGACTTTCACAGCTAAGACCCCCCCCACCATGTCATGTTTAAAGTGGCAAATTATTCCCATTCTTTTTGTGTTCCTTTGATAGGAGTAAGCTCCACTCAGATGGCTTCCTACAAATTTGTGGAACAAACTCCTGAGAGAATGCTTCCCCAACAACTACAATCTTGTCCAAGTCTAGGATCTACCAACCAATATCTATCCTACACATCCTCATAATATGCACATCTTAATTCCTCCTTCTCCCTCCCTTACAACAATCTCGCTCAGTGACCCTCTATCTTGAGTGGCTCTTGGGCCTTATATTGGGTAAACTAACAGTAAAAAAAAAAAAGTTCTAAGCACTCCTCTAAAATTCAAATCCAAAAGAAAATCTAAACACTCTAAATTTCAAATCCAAACCCTATTTTCTCCATTTTAAGTCTCCACTAAACAACACTTAAAGAGCCTCAAACTACATGAGCAAAGACATAAATGTACCAGATGACTAAAATAGTTTTTGGACCAAGGCAAATAGATCCAACTTCCTAATTTTCAGAGCCTAGCTGAGTGCATCAGATCACATAAATAAGCAAAATACTATGAATTAGATACAGAAAAGGCCTCTGAAACTGTATGCAGCACAAGGAGATCAAATGTTAAATGTCTATATAACCACTCTGAAGATGGCTCTTGTGAGCCGAAAGCTTAGATCGAGGAACAGCATAATGAAAACATATCCAAATGTTGGACAGTTTTTGTTTTTCTTTTCTCCCCAAATTAAAGCAACTATAAGAAGCTTAGAATAGCACATGATCAAACATAATAGACATTAGCTGTTATATTTAACAATATGTTTCAATAATGATCTGTTGCCCCAATACAATATATATATATATATATATCTAAACAGCTGTTAGTCCAACCAGGAAACGGTTATATTAAAAAGTGCTCGATACACAATCCCAAAATTGAACATGCAGAGCTTTTAAATATTAAAAAAGTGGAAGATTAATCACTTATGCATCTGTTACCATAGTTTCAACCATTGAGGTCTCGTCTGGGGGTAGATGCATCTACTGCCTGATGATACCTCAGTGGTTGAAACCGTGGTAGTGGGTGAGTAAGTGATTAATATTCCAGTTTTTAATATTTATATATATATATATATATATATATATATATATATCGTACCACCTTAATTTCAAAAGCGAATGCCCACTTAGGTACAAAGTAGCAGTAATAAAAAACCTTCTAAATAGAGCACACCAGAACTCACCCTCTTGACTACTCTTTCTCAAAGAACTTAACAACGTTAAACAAACACTAATCAACAACGGTTTCCCTAACTACCTTATAGACCAACAAATTAGACTATTCCTCCCCAAAGCAAGTAATAACGATAGCGAACACACAGCCAAAAATCACATACACATTTATTACAAAAACCAAATGCATATTAATTACAAACGAATCTTCTCTAAGGCATATTATAAAGAAATATACTACTCCTATTGATCCGAATAAAAAAATCAAACTTATTATCTATTATAAAAAATTTAAGACAGCCAACCTTATCCTCAAAAATAACAACACACCAACTAAGTCAAAATTACAAAGAACGAACATTATCTATGAGTTCAAATGCCCCTTAAGGAACTGTGTTCCTGATCAAACCGGACTCATAAATAATTACATCGGTTACTCAACCACATGCTTATCCAGACGTCTTACGTTACACCTATCTGATCGCAGCTCCATTAGAACCCATTTAAACACACACACAGATTTACCCAACACCATTAGGAACATACTAGTAGAAAGAACAAATATATTAACTGCATCCACCTGCAAAAAAAGACTAAAAATAATGGAAGCTCTAATAATAAAAAAGAAAAAGCCAACTCTTAACAATATTAACTACAAACAAAGCCACAATGTGCTAACCGTATTCAGAAGTTAAAAACATCCCTACCACACACTGAACTAAACTGATAATCGAATCATCCTTGATAATAGCTAAAGGTATAGCCGAAAGCGCTCGGAAATATAAAACATTCGGACAGTTCTTAAACACCCTTTGTCCAGAAAAGAAAGCTCTTGTTCAAACACAAGAAAGATTAAATAAAAAAGCTCAACCGTAGTACCTTGTCTGTCGTTTTTAATGAAACATGCATAAAGGAAGGATTGCTGCCTAAATATATATATATATATATATATATATATATATATATATATATATCAATGGGAGATAACTCCAAACTCATCATGAGTTCCATCCCTTAGCAAATTCCTAATCTCCAAGCATGAGAGAATTTATGCTGTTTGTGGAGTGAAGACAGAAATAAACACCAAGACTGTCGATCATCAAATGACAAAAATATGGCTTCTCAGTCGGGCATCATTCTGACTAATCAACTGTGTGAAAATAAATATTTAACATTTTTGAACCAATGGGTCCTGTTCCCACCAACAATAAAGAACATGCTTTGTGATCCCTTTGAAGAGTATATAAGCAATGTTTCTCGACCAGACAAGCCAGTAAGGAGAAGGAGTGTGATAACACACATAGCTTAAAAGTCCCTTACTCATTCACTCATCTTTCTCACCAAATTATGTAACATTAACACTCTTCCTCACCAAAACAAGCTATGTAACATTCAAGACTCTTCATCATCAAGCTACATGACACTTACACTTTGCTCCTCGCCTCTTTTGTTTCACACATACTTATGGAGAAATCACATTTCCTTTTATCTTAACAAGTAGCTACAAACAAGGAACTTTTACACTCATACAAGCTGAGAAAAATTTAGGTGTAAAAACACAAAAATAAAAATATTTTGATATTTAAAAACCTTTCTCGTCTTTTTCTTTGTTGTAGGTTGATTCTCTTTTTCTCTCTTGTCTCTTTTTAAAACATGGTGATTACATAATCACATATGTAATTTCAATCCAACTAAATGAAAATCCATATTTACATATTTTTACTAAGTTTAATTCTGTTAAATTATTTGGAGAACCTCAGTGCTGTTATCCTTTCAATATTTTTTCCTTTTAAATTTTACATCACTAATCGTATTAATCACATACACTTTTGAAACAACATTACTCAACCATGAGGGGATATTTTCACATAACACATTATTCCAGTTAAGAAGCTGTTTGTCATTAGGATTAGTTCACATCTGATAACAGATTGACAATGAGGTCATAACAGTAACACTACCAGCAACAAACAAAAAATCAGTCTACAGTGACAAGATTTAAGGAATACAAAAGAAAACAATCAAAAGAGGTCAGAGAAAATAGTAATATAAATACACAAATTGTATATCAATAAATACACAAATTATATATCAAATGATATTTGACCTTTCAAAAAGCAAAATCTAAGCATTCAAAACATTTTTTAAGTAGGATTTCATCAGTATCTTAAAAGCAACCTGGATGTATGAACGGGAAACATCAAACCCAAACCATCTATTCCAACAAAAGAAAGCATCAAAATTAATCTTTGTTGCCATACCAAAAACTAATTAGTAAGAACATTAGTAAAGATTAACTCAAAAAAGCTAGTGACTAAAAAAATACAAAAAAACAATTACCTGTTAAACTTATAAGGCTATTTTATTAACAGATTATAAAATCCAACAATTTCTTCTTTTTTTCAATATTTCTTTATTGAATGTTGGTACATGTCTTGTGACTTCTATTCCCTTCATCAGCCAAAGATTTATATTGTTAAGTTCAAATGCAACTGGACAATACAGAGTTTGAAAACAATAATTCAAAATTCTTAGAAAGAGAAAATAATTCAGTAACTCATAGTTATATTATATAAATAATTCAGTAAAATTCATAGTGTGACAAAAAAAAAAGTTGTGTTTAGCATAATAGACAGTTGTTAGAATTCTAAAAAAATTATTTTACACCCAACAAGTCCATCAAATAGGATTTCAATTATAGGATTATAGATTTCTAAAATAATTCAGGATTTAATACGTTTCTTTAAAAAAATATATTAAAAAGTCCTGTATTATTTACAGATTTCTTTAAAAAAAATAAAAATTAAAATACTATCATTTGTAGGTTTCTAATTAAAAAATATAAAAAATAAATCCACTATTCATTTTCGGTTTTTAAAAAGTAATCCACTATATTATAAAAAAAAAAAAAAATAATATGATATTAATTATAGTTTCCTAAAAAATATCAGGTATTAAATATTGGTTTAAAAAAAAAAAAAAAAATAAAACCATTCTTGTTTTAATTATAAATTTCTATTAAAAAAAAATCTGGTATTAATCATAATTTTCTATAAAAATCTGGCATTAATTATAATTTTCTATAAAAAATGTGATATTAATTATAATTTTCTACAAAAAGTCTGGTGGTAATTACAATTTTCTATAAAAATCTGGTATTAATTAAAATTTCTATAAAAGATCTGGGATTAATTAAAATTTTCTATTAAAAAATCTGATATTAATCATAGGTTTTTAAAGAAATAAAAAAAATAAATCCTGTTTTAATTATAATTTCAATAAAAAAAAATAGGTCTGATATTATAGGTTACTACCTGTAAACTATTAATGCCCACACAGTCCCATTTTAGGAATGGAGTGGGGGGGGGGGCATTAAAGGACTAAGTTCATCAACAGTGTTGAAGGAGCATCAACTGATTAAAATCAATAAGAAAAGACAAATCAATCAAGTTACTCACCTTCTCGTCAATGATGATTAACGCTGGCTTCTTTGTGCGTGCTAATTCCGTGGCATTAATGCCTAGTCTCTCGGCAAATACTGAATGGTTAATTACATCCATTGCATAAAAAAGAACCGTCCGATTTGTGCGGCATGAGAGGCCTGTGAAATTAGCCACTTGAATTGGCTGCAATGTCTCAAAACTCAGGTTGGTGTCCAATGGAACACCCTGTACAAGTTGAAAGTTCAACCGATCACAAAGACGTTGTGTGCCATCTTTTAATATCCCTTCAATGAATGGGTCTTTTGTTGGCCACCTGTTCATCAGGCGTTTTGCCAACCGGGCTTGTTTAGACTCGCTAGGTCTGACAGTTTCGCAGTTGAACTGGTATGCAACGACGAGGTGGGAGATGGGGATAAGGGCAACAGAGGAGACAACCAAGTTTTCTGAACATGACGACAGCACACAGACTTGTGCTGATGGGGCATGTAGTTGGGAGAAATTTCCAGGCACTTGTTGCTTAAAGTACTGTACATAGTATCCCGCAGCTCATAGCTCAGGGATCCGGGGCATGACTGGAACGTGTGACAGGCACCATCAGTAAGGTTATGGCTGTGACACACCTCACAGACATTGTGATAGACATGCCCCTGGAGAAGTTGCTTGTGTAGAACACTGACACAACACCGACACATAGGGGAGGGCGGAGACATACTGTTCATGCCCAGTGTTTCTGACGAGCTTGAAGAAGGTTGGGGGTAATCTGAGGGGTGTAGATAAACATGGTTTTGTTTTTGTTGTAGTTGGTATAGCAGATGTGATTTCCGACAGATTTCAACTGTCTCTTTTATCTTCTTCATGGAAGAAAGTCTATGGTTAAAGCTGGAGGAAATCATTTCATTAAAAGAGTTATCTTTTGTACACCTGATGTAGTCCAATGCTACTTCACGTAACTACAAGAAAAAAACAAAAAAAAGAAAAGATTTTTAGATCAAATATCCAGTTTTAAACAATTAAGAATGTTACATAGATGCTCCCATAGAAATTAAGAATGTTACATAGATGCTCCCATAGAAATTAAGAATGTTACTAGCTGTACCCATAGAAATTTTACAGTTGATAGAATGACACTTGATATATATTGTCTTTACATTTTAAGAGAGATAAATTTTAAGTGTTCATTAAATACCTATACAATCATTTTTTTTTTTTTTTTTTTTTTTTACAGTGAGATAAGGTCCAAGAGCCACTCTAGATAGAAGGTTACACTGAAAGAAGAATAGTTTATGCAGATATATGGGGAAGATAACGGTTAACACTAGACTTGATCAGGTTAAGATTGTAGCGATCAGAAAAATATTCTCTTGGGAATTGATTCTCCAGAGAAGTGGTTTGCAGGAAGAAGCTGCTCAAGTGGAACTTACTTTTCATGAATGGAATACATAAGAAATAAGGGTTGTTTGCTACAAAGAAGATAGAATTATGGGTCCTAGCTGCAAAGGTGAGATCTGGTGGAATTTTCCATGGAAGTAACGATAAAACAGTGAAGTGCTTGCAACATCTCATCTGTGAGAGAGAGGCTGTTGAGTGGAAAATAATTTGTCACCCACAAGGATATGGAGACACTTTTGAACTCCATCAAAACTGGAAAGTGGGGACTGAGCAACTCCTGTCCAAATATAACAACAGTACTCCATTCTTCTTTTTCTTCTATATATATATATATATATATATATATATATATATATATATATATATAAATTTTCATTTTTTTTTTTTTTTTTTTTTTCACAGTGAGATTCACACTGTGCAAGTCCCAGGGTCCACACGAGGCAGAGGGTTACACAGTAAGATGCACAGTTTATGCAGATAGGTGGGGAAGATAATGGTTTAACCTAAACTTGAACAGGTTAAGATTGTAGCAATTGAGAAAACATCCTCTTGGGAGAAGTAGTTTGCAGGAAGAAGCTGCTCAAGTGGAACTTACTTTTCACCAATGGAATACGTAGGAAATAAGGGTGGTTCGCTACAAAGAAGATAGAATTACGGGTCCTAGCTGCAAAGGTGAGATCTGGTGGAACTTTCCATAGAAGTAACAATAAAGCAGTGAAGGGCTTGCAATGTCTCATCTGTGAGAGAGAGGCTGTTGAGCGGAAAGTAATTTGTCACCCACAAGGATACATAGATACTTTTGGACTATCAAAACTGGAAAGTGAGGACAGAGAAGCTCCTGCACAAATCTGACAGCAGTACTCCATTTTTGGCCTGATGTGGCTCTTGTAAAGGTATAGGATAGAACGAGGAGTCAGGTATTTACTGGAACAGTACAGAGAACTGACCATTTTTCCTGCATCTTTAATGATGTCATAAAGGTTGAGGTTTAGGTTGAGTTTAAGATCAAATAGGCACTCCTGCATATCACATTATAATAATTCCTCAAATAAATTCTTATGACATCTATTTCCTTAATCATATAGAGTGGGACCTGTGGTAATACCATGGGTTTTGATTTTAATGATTTCACTCCAAGTATGGGAATAAAGCCACTAAGGAGCAAGGGGTTACTGAGTGTGAAAGAAAGAGATACAAAGACAATAAAAGAACAGGATTCACAGAGACAGAAGATGATGATTGACATTGCATTTAACTTTTTGAAGATCATAGCTGACAGGAAAGCAGGAAGCTGAAAGAGAGTTCCACAAGCAAGAAGTACAGAAGAAGAAACTATCAACATAGAACTTACAGTGTGCACATTTTTATCACAGAAACTAATTATTTTGAGCTGGCATATTTCATATTAGCACACCATTTCACTGAAGCAGGAGTTACACACAAAAAAGTGTTATGGTTTTCTATATCTTTCCTTTCTTTCTGGAAAGACATATATACATCTTCAATGCACCCCAGAATGTGTTTTGCCAGGAGTTAGAAAAAAAAAAAAATTTACTCTGTTCACTGCAGCTATGCCAAGAATTTGAGGACAAAGGATAAGCAAGTTAATTTTTTTTTTTTTTTCTTAACAGCACATCAATCTCTGTGGGTCATTTTAGTGCCAAATCATTTATTTAACATACTATGGACCAAACATGTGAGCAAATTGGCAAAATTTTAGAGAGTTTTAATTTTCTTTAAATTCCCATCCATGTCAGCTATGTATTTTTTGGGACTATTTTTGCAGTCCATTTTGTAAATTTCTTCAGGTTTAGTGTTAGGAGTTTTGCACTTCTTCCTCTCAATTCCACTTTTCTATATTATGTCAGCATCTTCTTCAAACCACAGAAATCAAAGATATTAAATGGAAAATGATAACAGAGAAGAACTTACCAAATGATAGTATTGATTAGCATCAAATAAAGGATTGTGAATATAAAACATTATCACAGTGGCACCTTTCGCTATCTCAGTCGACAGCTGAAGACTTTTCATTCCTGAAGGAGACAAGATTTTCACCAGGGGCTGAAATGAATAAATTAAAAAAATCTCAATAAATATTGCATCTCACATGCAACTGTCAGGGGAGATAAAAGTTTGGTTTATTTAGTTTAATGGCATATCAACCTCAAAGGGTTATTTAATGCTGACAAGATTTTTCTGATAGGTTCATATAAATAGAGTATGTCTTCTTTGTAAGAAATCATATATAAATCAGTTTTCATTGACATATTTTGTAAAGAGGGATTTTGTCAAGAGCCAAATGTATTGCTGGAAATAATTTTTCCTTCCAAAATAGGTTACAAAAAAAATGTAGGTAAGCAGATTTAGTAAACATTTTTTTAATTATCTGCCTATATTTCTGAGATGAGGTATTATGTACACTATTTACATTATTCAGACTATTGTCCTCATCTTTGTCACCATGTTTATCACATTTCAGCCGTTGTATGCTCCTGCCTTCTTCAGGTGGTTGGAATGTTAAACTGAACCCTTTATTTCACTCACTAGGGTAGACTGTTCTAGTTCCACGTGCCATGTTTAATGGATGTCAGTTATCTCTTGTTAATTCTCCTCTGAAAGTTCTCCACCGTCTTAACCAGGTATTGAACTCACACTCTTTGGGTCCTGTCACTGAATCTAACTAACACCTTTATCCATTGTGCCATGTGTCCTTTTTTTTTATTATTATTATTTTCCTGTAGAGCCCAATTCCTTTAATGAAATTTATGATGTCACTTGGATTGATATTTTCAAATAGATCCTTTAAGTTATCTGATTTGTAATATTTGATACGGGTTTTGCTGGAGGTTATGGCAATTTAGTAGTGTTTGACTGTATATGGTTCCAGGCATGGGACACATATTGGCGGCTCCTCATTTTTTAATAGATGTTGCGGGTCAATCAGGGGAGATAAACAGAGAATATATAACAGTAGCGGCCCTTGCAACATGACTGTCTAACATTTCAACTGGTATTTCTTTTTTATTTCAGCTTCCAATTTAGCCCAACTTCTCAGACCGTCAACAAACAAGGCAGATTGGAAATTTAAAAAAAAAAAAAAAAAAGAGAAAAGAAAAGGAAGAAATGACCTTCAACTAAGACTCAAACTCGTAGAATGTCAGTCTGGTAAGTTGTAATAAACTGAAGTTAATAACTGACATCTCATCTAATAATAAATTCAAGATAATATTTTTATGCATTGATATTTCATATATTTTGGGGATTATTGTCCTAATTCACCCTTTTGGATAGGGAAGAGTTACTTGTCCAGGAATTAATCAATCAGAAAACATCTTCCTAATAGGGCAGGTTGATTTTTCACTTTTTCTTTTAGAAAATCAACATTGCACTTGGTAAGTACAGACATCCAAAAATTAGATTCATAGCTTTTATCAATGTTTTAAAGATTGTATGAAAAAACATACAAAGAAATACCTAATTTCCACAGGTTTTTGCTTGCAAACAGACTTCAAAACTTTACTATTTCAATAATAAATCCAAATAAAGTTGATATATTTTGAATGGAAAATAAATTCAAAACAGAGTTCGAATTATAAATTAACACAAGCAAAATATGCAATTTTTTTTTTACTGTATTCAATAAATAAAAATTGTGTAAAAAAATTGAAAAAGTTTACAAAAAAGGTGAATCAATGAATAAGATTTGTGAGATCATTTGTTAGATTATAATAAATAAAAATAAAAAATAGACAAAAGGTATATAAAAATCGTAATACTGTTGGGCATAAATTATAAGAAAAAATAATTTAAATTTACATTGTTTATTGAAAATGGCACTAAAATTGCAGCACTGTATAACATATTACATCATAGTATAGTTAAATTGTTCAGTATTATTTCCCTTTGAAGTAAATGATGGTCATATTTGACGGCACAATGATTTAGTAATAATGTGCTTGTGCTGTCCATCTTGTCCATATAGAATTTATAAAGCTTCAGGAAATTAGAAATTTTATAAGACTTTTACTGATCACCGGAATGAAATCCCAACACTACAATTTTGAACCTTGTTTCCTCAAAATGCAGTAACAATTTGGAAAAAATATTTTGTCATTATTTATCTAGTCAAACCACAACTTTCATATTCCACAGTTCCAAAATCAATCTGCTCAATCAGGCCTGTGCAATTCTGCCATTGGCCACACCCAAAATCTTGTGGCTGATACAGTTTTGAATTCAAAGTTGTCCTAGACTGAGTTGCCAACTACAGCGAGAGAGCCAAGTCTGTCCTGTCGAGAATAGAAAGATTCATACCTTTCCCCAAAGGTATTTGCACATAAATTAATGTAACAAGCTCAACTGGAATTTGAACCCAGTTCTATGATTTCTCATCCCAAGCCACTATTACACCAACTACCTACCCACAAGGGGCTTATCCTCGATATCTGAAGTTGGTTGGTTGATTTTGTTTAGTAGCATATCAACATCTATGTGTTATTTAATGCCAAAATCTAAATCATTTGTACATAAGTTGATGCATTCAACTACATATACCTTGTACATAATTTTATATTTCAGAGTAAAGGTATTTTTTTTTAGATATATAGTTTGTAGATCATGAAATGTATCGTTAGTAATTTTGCTATAAAAATATATTTTTATATTTTTTTAGTGTTGCATTGATTGTCATTTTGCTATAAAAATGTTTTCTTGCTCATTTTGTTTTAAAAATGTACTGTAGATTTTTGTTTCGTGGGGGTTTCACTATTTGCCCATATCTGGGACCCTAACAGGTGCTAACACCCCAAGTGGACTTGGGAACAACAGCAATTAAGAGGTGGTTCCACACACCTCAAAACCTCCAATCTCCCAATCAGAGGCTGTTGGAAAGAGTTGGATGATATATCCAGTCAACATCATGATGTTTGGAGTGATCACTAGTGATGGTGACATTATGCCTCCATTCATCTTCCTCAGACTCAACATGGAGGCCTACATCAAGTGCCTTGAAGAGGTCGTTCTGCCCTAGGTTAAGATGGTGGCTGCTGGAAGACCCTATGTCTGGCAAAAGGACTCTGCACTATGCCATACAAGCAGGAGAACCCAGGCATAGCTGTCAAACAATTTCTGCAACCACATCACCTCTTGCATCTGGCCATCTAACTCCCCAGATGGCAACCCTCCTTGATTATTATGCGTGGGGTGCAGTTGAGTGAGAGACCAACAAAACTCCTTGTAACAACAAAGATGAACCAAAGACAAGGATTATGGCAGCATTCACCAACTTAAACAAGGAGACTGTCTAGAAGAGTTGCAGGAGATTCTAAAGTTGTCTGAAGCTGAAGCCAATGGCGATTTTATTGAATAAATTTACTCCTTAGTATTTCAAGATTTTTTTGTGTAATTTTGGTAAATATATCTGTTAAAATGAGATGTCAGTGTTATTTTCACTTTTGCATTATTTTGATGACAATTTATCCATCGCACCTTGTATATCTGTTAAAATGAGACGTCTGTTATTTTCATTTTGGGGCAATTTAGATGACAATTTATCCATTGCACCATGTATATGATTCATTTCTTAGTTTTGGTTCTTCAATGATTTTTTTTTATCATTTCATCTTTTTCAAAATACAAATTTTATTGCAATTTGGTTCTGCAGTTATTTTTTTTTAGCAAAGAGAAATTCAAATTCTTCCTCTAGCCAACTTACTTGTTGCCTGACCTCAAAGGCCCACTTGACCAGTTCAGAACTTGTGAAATTCCTTGCCGAGGGATTTTTCTGAAAATGAACAAAACATAATTCAAGTATTAATCAACAGAAAGAAAATTTAATCTCCTCAAAGAAGATAAATGGATCAGGGCAGATTTTACTGAATTTTAAGAAAAACATTTAACCACATATTGGAACCAAGATTGTGTCTATAGAGCTACTTTGAAAATAATTAAAAGTTTTGTTAGTAATAAAAAGTCAATTTATAATCATAGTACTAGTTTCCAATATAGACTAATTTGGAAATCATGGTTATAACTGGAGGAAAAAGTATAAAAGTACAATTTATTATTATTACTATACATTGAACACCAACAACAACTGGTGTTTTTCATTAGAGGCCAAGTGACAGCAAGTCTTCTCACCATTGTTGCTGATTTTGGTCAGACTATTTGGATTGTTTTAATTCTTCCAGCTTCTTTGTAAGATGATTTTAGACTTTTCCAAATTCACTCAAAATGATGGGATCACTTGTCAGTTTCTTATGCCATTAGTTGGGAAACAAAATACACCAACTGAATCCACATACATATGGATATCTCCCCAATCCAATAAAAAAGGGACCACCTGTTCAATATACCTTTGTCAACCCATGTTTGCCTCTCATGCAAACCAAATCCACATCTGCCTCTCATAGAAATTAAACCCATGTCTTCTTCTTAGGCAAACCAAATCCATGTTTGCCTCTCAAGCTCTTATGCAAGCCAAATATATGTCTACCTATCGAGTGTACAAAATCCAGCATTAAAATAACTAAAAAATATGCTATAAAGCAAACCAAGCCTTGTTAGTTTCATCTTTCACTTCTTTGTCATCTACTAGAATACAGATATCTCCAATCTTGTCAAATTTTCTTCTCTGTGTTTACAAGGGTTAGATCTGGCTTCCTGGCCTGGACTAAGCAATCTGTTTAAATTTCAAAGCTCCAAAGAATTGTATTTCTTTCATTCTCTAAGAAAATTTGGGTATATAACACTGCATTGTCAAATCCCATTCATTTGCACAATTCCCAGTGGATTACCTTTCCTACCCAACCAAGACTACTTTTAAACTCTAAGTTAAATTTCCTGCATTTGATAAATTGTTTAATAGTCAAATCTCTACATGAGTGACATTTACTGCGTCTTGTTATTTTGATGTTAATATAGTTTATTTCTGCATTATCCCTTTCTGACCTGCCATTAAGAATCCTTTATCAATTTCCTGTCAGTAACCATCTCTGTCATTTGTAATTCCTTTTACGTCTTGAAATACCTCGAGACTTTTATTTCTTCCCATTTTTTAGATTCTCAATTTTAAGAGCAAATCAATCAATTTTTTTTCATTACATTCAAAAAGAATATGCTGGACATCATCCTTCAAAAAAAGAAAAAAAAAAAAAAAATACTTTTTACTGGTATTCACTACTTGTAATCAGGAGAATAGAAAAATGACTTTTGCATGCTTCAAGCAGGTTTTCCATGGTCTCAATTCCCATAATCCATAAGGGTCACAGAATCACCACATGCACTACTGCTAAATGTATCAAAGACAAAGCACATCACTCTTCATCTTTCAAATTCAGAGCTGTCCTTCTAGACTAGGGGTTCTCAACTACAATCCGTGAGGTGGGAGGGGAAGAGAGCAGGAGGGATGAGGGAGATGGGTTACATTATGGGAGAATGGTTGGAGGAATAAAGGGGGTACTAAAAAAAGCTCTGGTAGCCTAATTGATACATCATGTTGATGGAGAAGTGGGGAGAGGAGTGAAGGTGTGAAGACAATGAAGCAAGAGAAGAGTGCAAGTGGTAATTGTGTTTTTTTTTTTCTTGTTTCTTTTGTGGGGGACTTTTGTGGGTTTTTCAGTCAATCAAGATGATGGCCTTAAAAAAATAAAAAATAAAATCAGTGTGAAATATGTTTTTATTTTCATTCTTATTACCCCCCCACCACCACCACCATTCCATTTCTTTCCTACCCCTCTCTTTATTGCTAAAAAAGAGGCACAGTTAGCTTAATAACTACAGGAGCAGGAATGAGTACCGATAACATTTTTCGCCTTTTCTTTTTCTTTCTTACTCATTCAAATCTGTTTTGACATATTTTCCATTTTCTCATGAATTACTAGTTGAAAAAAAATTAATGATCAACAAAGAGCATTGTTTGTTTGGGTTTTATCTAACCAGTTTCACTCTTGAATTTTCCAGTCAACTGCTCGTCATTTAACAATGTTATCAGGTATCACATCCTTGGTATGTTTCTCGAATCATCTTTATGACAAACATTTTAATCTCCCAATTCTCATGATTCACTAAGAAATACAACCTGCATACTTTTTACTTGTTCCATTTTCTTTAAGCAGACATTCCCCTCAGAGTTTCTTGCCTTCAGTAAACAGCCAACCTCCTTGTTTCTTGTCAATACTTCAATTTATTTTCATGTCTTTTAGTTCAAAAGAACAAGTTTCACTTTCAGAAAGAAAACAGTCTACCAGTAAAATCTGAAATATCCAGATTGGCTGTCTAGGCTTTTCAAAGAGCAGTACCTCTCTTATGACAGTAACTTGATCATGTCAGCCAGAAGTTACAATAACACATTCACAAAATGAAAATAATTAATCTCAATTTAGAAAATAAATATTCAAGTGCTGTAAAAAATTGTTCTGGTCTTTTTTCCTTTTAGAAATGTTCTTTTAAATTAAAATGTAATAAAGTTTGTAAATATCAATTTTTTATAGCATTTCTTTAATTTTAATTTCAGCTACTTTTTATAGCAACTACTCTAATAGGTCTAAGTAGTTACAATGTGAAAAGTAACCAAAATTAAAATAAAAGAAATACTAATAAAAAAATTAGTAATGCTTAACAATACATAATTTAATACTAATAGTAAAGTCAAGATAATAAACTTTATATTCCAACCTTTTCCTTTTGCTTTCCTTTATAAACCAAATACGACATCTGAGTGCAAACTCCATTATACTGTATTATTTCAAATCAGTAAACTAAATAAAACAGCAACATAACATAAAAGTAATAAAAAAAATAAACGTAATTAAAAAAATAAAAAAAATAAACGAATTAAAAAAATTTATACAAGAATACAGCATTAAAAATAAAGTAATTAAAAAATAAACGAATGGAAAATTTTTTTAAATAAACAAATATAAAAATGTAACAAAAAATATAAATACTTAAAAAAGTAAAAGTAACTTAAAAAATAAAATTTTATAAATAACATTTTTAAAAATAAAAGTAATAAAATTAAAGTAATTTTAAAAAAATTAATTTGAAAAATAAATGAATTAAAAAAATTAAGTAATTTAAAAAAATGAACGAATTAAAAAATAAACAAATTAAAAATAAAGTAATTAAAAAAATAAACAAATTAAAAAATAAAGTAATTTTTAAAAAATGTAATGAGAAATAATAAAACAAAAAATAATTTTAAATAATAAGTGAAAAATAATAAAATACTAAATCTATAAAAGTAGAATGTCACGTACCAAAATATTTTTATGTTTTACCATAACAACCTCTCCAACATTTGGTCCCATGGTTAATGAGTTTGCAAGTAAAGGGGAAGTGACAATCCCAAATTTGAGTACTTGGAGTGGGTCTACAAAATAAACATAAAATATTAAAAAAAAGCATTATTAAATAAATTAATCACTTGCTTTCCAATCTAGAGAATAGTATCAATGATTTTTAAAGATAATATTTTTTTTTATTCTTGTATTGCAAGAATACAGCATTCTTTACATTTTAATAATTTTCAAAGTTTTCTGTTTTTTAAAGAAATAATTTAAACATTATCAATACTTACTACTTTCTAAATGAACATATATACAGGGTGTCCATAAAGTTCGTGTGCACTTTAAAAAATTTATAACTTTATTTGTATTTGTGATAGAAATAATCTGTAAAGCATGTTATAAAGTTTAATGTACCTAGTTTTAAGCATAGCTAAAATAACTAATGTGATTTCAGGCATTACTGTAAATCAGTTGGCAAATATTTTCCGTGAACTGCAAAATTGTATTACCCTTTGTATTACTAATGATGGAGGACATGTGGAAACTTAAATAAAATTTCAATAAAACCTTAAAAAAATATAGATTTACTTCTTTCTAATCCTTTTTACAAATTATTTCTATTACAAATACAAATAAAGTTATAAATTTTTTAAAGTGCACACGAACTTTATGGACAACCTGTATAATCACCCAAATCCCACATAGACAAACTAGAATTATGATACATATGTACACATGAATTATACATATAAACACTGATTGACAAGACAGGTGCTCATGAGATCTGCTTAACCAATGGAAAACAAACAACAAAAAAATTAAAAATAACAGAATTTTCTTTTTTTTTTTCTTCATATTCCATTCTCTGATAAAATGGTAAGAAAAGGGAAACAGATTAGATTTTTCAACATTTCCTTATTTGTTCCTTCTCCTATAATTCTCTCAGATTCTAATCTATATTTGATCCCAATTTGTATATAATTAACTCACCCTATTGATTTCAACATATGAGAACTGACAGCTTGAGTTTTGTTTTTAAGTTCTAATGTTTACATCTCATGTGAGACTTTAAATCAAGCCAATGAGTTACATTCAAGTCCATAGATGGGACACGAGAAATGATTCTTCTATAATGTGGTTGGTATGGCATATATGGTCTTTGTCTATAGATGTAACAATAAGAATGTGTTTCCCCAGAAAACAGTCTATCAGAAGCAAATTCTCGAAGAGGATGTTTTTAAACCTTTCAGTGCCCAAATACATCTGCAAGTTTTACACACTTACAGTCCAAGAGCATCTGAATGTGCCAGCAATTAGGTAGCACTCTTTTTCCATAAAAAAAATTTTTAACAATTCACATGTTCAACTAGAAGTGCCAGAAATCTACAACTTTTACAATATTGTAGATTTCCAAAAGCATATCTCATTAGTCAGAGCTTGAGGCTTAAGGCAATTCATCTTTGTAATTATAGTGCTCAGTGTCGTGCGATAGAGCACTAATAATAAATTAATAAATAAACTTGTTCGCTTATATCAGATTGTCTCTATTCAGAGCTTCATGAAATTACATCCATCCTTAAGGAGACTTGATAAATTTAGTTCATTTTCAGAAATCATAGTTTCCTTAAAAGCTGAAAATAAACAAAATTTATCATCAAGCCTCCTGAAGAGAGGATGTAATTCCATAAAGCGCAGAGTAGAGACCATCTTAAGATAAGCAAACTGATCTATTGAAACAGAAACACAGGTGCAAAGTCAGTAATTTCCAATTAGATATTGACCATATTTACCTGAATTACTTAAATCAAGGTGTTCCCAAGGACAGGAAATAGAAGGGAGTTGATAGACTGGCTATCATTTCAACTTGCGCTGACCGTAAGGTAAGTAGGTTGACACAGGCATGAACATGTATAATGAGGGCAGGGTGCTGAAAACCACATATGACAAGGAGAATAATGAAAATAATTCATCTTAAACACTCAGAAAATAATGCGTAAAAAAATATCTTCTTTGGTCAGATTTTGCAATGTAGACTTTTTAGTAGGACTCATATAGAGAGTGGAGAAATAAGTAACCACAATTTTTTTTTTTAAACTGGTTATTTTTGCATGAATATAGCATATTTAGGTGTTTGTTTTGTTTATTTGTTTTGTTTTATGGCATATCAACCTCAATGGGTCATTTAATGCCAACAATGTTTTTTTTCTGGTAATATTTTTGTTTTGTCAAAAATCTCTTTCTGGTAATATCTTTTTCCTCAAAAATGTATAGCTGGTAATAATATTTTAAAAAATGTATTGCTGGTAATTTTTTTTTTTTTTTTTCAAAAATGTATTGCTGGTAATAGATTTTTTTTCTTCAAAAATTTATTTCTGGTAATAATTTTTGCAAAGTATTTCTGGTATTAAAACCTATTTTTACACTTTCATAATGCTTTTTACCTCAGTTTCAGGGTTAACTATTTGCCCATAGCTGTGGCCCTAACAGGTGCTACCACCCTGGGTCAGGGCGGACCTGGGAAGACCAGCAATTAAGAGGTTGTTCTACGCTCCTCAAAGCCTCCTGATCAGAGGCCTTGCTGTTGGACATAGTTTATTATCTTACCCTGGACACAGATGTAGTTTATCATCATACCCAGGACGGATATTTAAGTGTAATGGATCAGCTGGTACCATCAAATTTTACCACTAATTTCTTACAATTCCTTTTACAGTATTAATAATAACTAATTTTAACCCATGATAATTTCAGTTTTCCTATTTGATTTCTCTGATAAATCTTAATTCTTAAGATTGAATAAGCTCATGGCAAGTTCTGCAACAATATCTGTAGAAATTCACCTATTGCATTGTTAAATATTTCTCACGATTTGAGATGCAATAGATTTGTTGTAACAGAGAATCAGGTCAACTCAATAAAAGACTCCAAGTTAGTTGTATGTGGTGTTATAAGCACCTGGAGTTGTGTCCCCTTCCACAATGGGCTGTTGAGAGAAGACCTTCTACTTGAGTAGGTGGTGCTGTCTATTTGCATATGAACAATACTGGGCAGGTATTAGCCAGTAGTCAGCGTGGGTCTGGGACTGGGAGAGCTATATAACACCAGTGTTTTTCTCAGTCGGAGAATGACACTCACAACGTGCAGACATGCAAAAACCAGATAAGATGAACACAATTCTGCTCATGAGCACCACTCAGAAAAAATCTCTCATATTTGATGTCCTGAATAAGTTTCTAAGAAAACCTGTTCCTTTATTTCTGGTCGCAGGTAAAAGACATGGTAAAGGATTTTATTAAACAACATATCAGTAAAAATGAAAATAATAATGTCATTTAAGTAGATAATATTATGAAGTCAGTGGTGGGGATAAAACTATAGCCTATAGTAGTGAGAATTAAGGTTAAAAAATAGCCAAATGAGGCCTCCATTTTATATATAAAATGCAGGGCAATTTCTTTTCAAAAGCACCTCTTAAATGTCATCAAATATGATATATATTACATAAATGCACACAAAGATACATACACAAGCAGAATTTGTTATATAAGATATGCATGTGTGTCTCTCTCTCTCTATATATATATATATATATATATATATATATATATATATATATACACACACACACACACACACACACATACATACATACATATAAGAAAATAAATATTGAAACGTCTTGATAAACCAATACAAATATTCTGAAAGGACATCAAGAGGGGTTCTGTTCAATGACAAGCAATAAAGCCGCCTTGCAGGAGATACTGAATGATTACAACATGGAAGACTGTGAAACCTTAACCAACATTTAAAATCTTCTGTTAAAGATGGATACATTCAAATAGAGAAAGGACAGAAAGAGAATATCATTAAAGAGAGAAAGGAGAGAGAGACATATCATTAGAGAGAGAAAAAGGAAAGATATTGGAGAGAGAGAAAAGGAGAGAAGGATATTGAAGAGAGAGAGAAAGATATCATTAAAAAAAGAAAGGAGAGAGGGGGGAGAAAGGAGAGAGAAAGGAAAGAACAGAGGAAATCAAAAGAGAAAGGAAAGAATAGTTCAGAGAGAGAATGAGTCAAAGAGCAGAGAGAGAGAGGAGGGTTCTGTTGGAACGAACAGAGAGAGAGAGAGGAGAAAAGGAACTGAATGATTAGAAAGGAACAAACAGAGAAAGGGAAGAGAACAGAGAAAGGAACTTAGAGAAAGGAACGAAAACAGAGAAATGAACGAGAACAGAGAAAGGAACGAAACAGAGAAAGGAACGAGAACAGAGAGAGAGTGAGGAAAGGAAAGAGCAGAGAGAGAATCTTCAGAGAGAGAGAGAGAGGAGAGAAAGGAACGAAACAGAGAGAGAGAGAGGATACAGAACAGAGAGAGAGAGAGAGAGAGAGAGAAAGGAACAAATAGAGAGAGAGAGAAAGGAACAAACAGAGAAGAGAAAGGAACGAGAACAGAGAGAGAGAGAAAGGAACGAGAACAGAGAGAGAGAAGAAACGGAACAGAGAGAGAAAGGAAAAAGAAAGATAGAGAGAGAAAGAAAGGAAAGAGAAGAGAGAGAGAAATGGAAGTTAAAGAGAGAGAGAGAGAATTAAAGAACAGAGAAAGAGAAGAGAAAGGAACAGAACAGAGAGAGAGAAAGGAACGAGAACAGAGAGAGAGAGAAAGGAACGAGAACAGAGAGAGAGAGAAAGGAACGAGAACAGAGAGAGAGAGAAAGGAACGAGAACAGAGAGAGAGAGAAAGGAACGAGAACAGAGAGAGAAGAGAGAAAGGAACGAGAAGAGAGAGAGAGAGAAAGAGAGAGAGAGAGGGAACGAGAACAGAGAGAGAGAGAGAAAAAGGAACGTTAAAAAGAGGGAGAGAGAGAGAGAAAGGAACGTTAAAAGGAGGGAGAGAGAGAGAGAAAGGAAGAAAGAGAGAGAGAGAGAGAGAGAAAGAGAACAGAGAGAAGAGAAAGAAAGGAACGAACAACAGAGAGAGAGAGAGAGAAAGGAACGAGAACAGAGAGAGAGAGAGAAAG